GAGAGAGAGAGAGAGAGAGAGAGAGAGAGAGAGAGAGGTGGTAGATGCCAGGGGCTTGGGAAGGGAAGCATGAGGAGGCAGTGGGAGATGTTGCTCAATACATAGTCTTAGTTTTTCAGGATGAAAAAGTCCTAGGCATCTGTTAAACAACTGTATGTGTGAAAAGGACAACGAAGGTGGATTTTATGTTACAAGGAGTTACTAAATGATAGACAGACAGATGATAGATGGACAGATAGACAGATAGATGACAGATAAATAAATAGATGATGATAGATAGTAAAGCAATTAACCACAAAGCCTATCTTCCCAGCAATAAATGTCTCCATCTTTTACATCATATTCATATAATGGTCTTTGTTGCTTGAGTGGTTTGATAACCACCTGTCTAGAATAAAACATGACCAAGCCCAAGGTTCTCTAAGGCTCTTCAGAGGTGGGTCTCTGGTACCCAGTCCACTGGCTTCTGTAAGTACTCAATATCCCACAAGCAGATGAAAGAGTGGGGCCCGCAGCAACAGCTCAGAGATAAAGTGCTGCTGAGTAAACATGAGGGCCATAGTTTGGATCCCCAGAAATGACACAAATGCCAAGTAGGTGTGGTGGCCCACCTGTAATTATAACTTTAGGAGGCAGAGGCTCCCTACAGCAAGCTGGCTAGCACCCTAACCGTATCAGCAATCACTGGGTTTGGCTGAGTGGCATTGCCTCAATGACATGTTGAAGAGCCAATGAGGATGATTCCTAACGTCAACCTCAAGCCTCCTCTTGTATGTGTATCCATATGCATGCACACTCCTACACACACACACACACACACACACACACACACACACCCTCAATGACTGATACTTCAGCACCATCTTAAAATTAGCATCTTAAAATTTGCATATGAGGCAAGCTTCCCATCTCACCATGTGAGCCTGAGGAGTTTGGGCTTTTATGTTCTAAATCAGCCCTTGAGTCAAATCCAGCCCACTGTTCATTTTTACAAATAAAGCTTTATTGGCACACAGCCATGCTCATCACTTACATATGGCTTATGGTGTTTTTCATGTTACAGCAGCAAAGCTGAGCAGCAACAGAGTCAGCCCATCCTTCGTAAGAACTTTGGGAGATGTTACTATATTCGGTGGTGCAGTGGCATGTTACCTTGCCAGTGAACTTGTAGTGGTGGCCACACCTTTTGGGCATGGTTTCAGGTGCTGATGTGACCAATTACAAGGTAGAGGAGGGGCTGGCTCTCCCTCTCTTGGGTTGCAGAGAGCATCGGAAGAGCAGAGACTGCATCTTCTGAAGCAGGAAGACTGCAGTGGTTCTTTACTCTATCTGTGTAAGTCCTTCCCTAATAAACACCTATTTATCATTTGTCTTGGGTCTGGCGAACTCATTTAAACCCCGCTTTCACAGTGGGGTCAGGGAGCAGATATTCAAATGCAGAGATAGTGGGTAAAGCTAATAACTTGTTCATGGTAGCAGGCAAAGGAGGCCAAGGGCCAGGGAAGAGAGAGGAGGAAGAGGAAAAGAGACACACCGAGACCAAGAGACAGAGAAAGACACTGAGAGACACAGAGAGAGAAGGGAAGAGGAGGAGAGAGAGGGGGGAGATAGAAGCAGGAGAGGGAGAAAAGGAGATGAGAAGAGGAAGAGGGACCCAGAGAGACACAGAGAGACAGAAAAAGAAACAGATGGAAGGAGGGGGAAGAAAGGGAAAGAGGGAAAGGGGGAGAGACCCAGAGAAAGTCTTAAGAGACAGGGGGATATGGGAGAGGGAGGATAAAGGAAGGAAAGGGGAAGATAGAGAAAAACAGAGACAGAGGGATAAAGAGAGGCAAAGGGAGGGGCAGAAACAGAAGAAGAGGAAGAGAGAGGGAGAAAGAGAGGGAGTGACAGACAGACAGACAGGCACACACTCCCAACTCTCTCTCTCTCTCTTCTCTCTCTCTCTCTCTCTCTCTCTCTCTCACACACACACACACACACACACACAGAGAGAGAGAGAGAGAGAGAGAGAGAGAGAGAGAGAGAGAGACATCATGGCAGGATCCAAAAGGCAGAGAGGGTCCTGCAGCTTGGTGTCTTGACAAGAAGACTGGATGAGAACTCATGAACTTGAGGTAGAACAGAAGAAAAGAAAAAAAATAAGCATAGTCTCATTCCTGCCCAGCCAGAGAGCAAGTAGCATGGAGGACACTGTCTGCAATTGTCAAGTCGGGGAATGGACTAGAGAGATCTACATGTAGGACATCCAACTTAGACCACACTAAGCAAAACAATCTGAGCTTCATCTCAGTGGCGGGGTCCAGGCAGGAGGATGCTGGGTTTGAACACATGCACTCTGGTCACTCACCTGAGAAACTGAGCCCTTGAGAGCATTTGAATCTGGAGCTCCAATAGCTGGCCTGGCTGGTCTCCTCCTATAGGATCTTAGCCTGTGTGCAAGGACACCAGGAGGCCTCTCAGTGTGGGCAGGTGGAGGTAGGACTGACATCCCTCCCACTTGCAATTAAGCCTCTGAAGGGTGGTCAAGGCTGGTGGTCCTATCCCAGAGGCTCCTGTGTTGAAAGGTGGCTCTCACCATCTGGGACAGTGGGGCCTGAGGGTTGCAACACTCGAGTCCCACACGGTGACCATATGCCTAAACAACTCTTCCCTGACTTCAGGCACCCCACCTACCCAGGTCCCTCCTCCAGGCCTGGGCTCAGGGTCCGGTACTAGTCTTGTCCCTCATCACCCAAGGTTCTCATCCCCACCGACACTGGTACTCACGCCATGACAACGATGCAGCAAAACAGGAGAAGGAAGACTGTGGTGCCTGAACCCACAAAGGCCCCCATAGTCATTTCAGATAAAGTTGTGCTGCCTGCAGATAGAGAACACTAAGAAAACTCCCCTCCTCTCCTATCTACCCCAGCCCCTGCAGGAAGCTGGACCTCCTACCTTTCTCACCCCTGGCTCAGGTAACCAGAACAGGGACCTGAGTGGAAGGGACAGATGGAAGGACCAGAGATATCAGAGGGGATGTTAAAAAGCTAGACTTTGTTTAGTTTGGTGTCTTATTCAGCATGGGATAAATTTTGCATTTTTAATGGGATCATTAAATGTATCTCAGTATGTGTTAGGGCCCGGGTTCCAACCCCAGATTTACAAACAGGCAAAGGAATATTTCATCACAGCCAGATGTAATAAAGAATGCCTATCATTTCTCTGTCTCTGAGGCTGAGGCAAGAGGATCTCAAGGGGTGTTTGGGATATAGACTGAGTTCAGTGACTGCCTGGACAACTTGGTGAAACCCTATCTCAAAATAAAAATTAAAAAGAGGCCTGGGGATATAGGTCAGCTGTTGAATATCTGCCTAGAATCTCCCAGTGAGTGGCTGGCAGTGTGGCTCAATGGTAGAGTCCTGCCTAGAATCCTCCAGTAAGGGGCTGAGGCATGGACCACCACACAGGCTTGACTACTGAGTTGTTGTCCATTTGTTTTTATGCTGTTTTGTTTGGTTCACTTTTCTCTTGAATTTTATGCTCTTAGCAAATTCCCCTTCCTCCTGGCCTGCAGAAGCAAGGACCTTGTGTGCAGAGCTCTCCCATCTAAGTACAAGTCTTTCTCCTTGGGATTTGCTGCTTCCTGGGAGGACCCCCTCCGCATCCTACATGCCCTCCTTGTGACAGGAATAAGATGGTGAGACTCTGGGTATTTACAGGCCTCACAGCTCAGCACAACCTGGAGCCACACTCCCTTGTGACGCTACGAGGACTAATGGGAACACTGCAAGGGTGGGCCAGGTGTTGACCTCCTGCTGCCTGCCTCTGGCCCACAGGTCACTCACTCTGTGGATACAGGCTCAGGGAAATGTGTTGGGAGCCCAGGGCATGCTGAGCTTGGCAGGTGTACATTCCTTCATGCTTAAGATGCACCGGAAACAGCTCCAGGAGCCCAGGTTCCAACAGCTTCGAGGGGCACAGACTCAGGTTACCCCAGGTCCAACTTAGGTTCGCAGGGGGATTGCTGTCAGTGCTACAGAAGAGGCGTAGAGACTGGCCCTCAGAGACCGGAAGAGATGAGCCATTCTTCAGGATTATGTATTCTGTATAGAAAGAGACAGAGCCAGTGTGAAGAGAGATTAAGAGAAGGGGCACTGGAACCCAGAAAGGGGGACTGACAACAGATTGGGAGCAAAGGATAGGAAAACCCAGGCTTTTGACTATCACCACAGCAACAATCTAAACTTTTATTTCACTGTGAGCTACTTGACTGTAGGCCTTAAAATTAGAGAGAACATGTGATCCAGGCATATATTTGGAGTTGATGATGAGAGAGAGTCAGACAAACTGGGGGGATGAGAGAGAGAGAGAGAGAGAGAGAGAGAGAGAGAGAGAGAGAAGAAGGCAGTGTCTTGAGTAGCCCAGGCTAGTCTCAAACTCATGATGTAGCAAGAATTACTTTGAACATCTGATCCTCCTGCCTCCACCTCCCAAGTGCAGGTGGAGGAGAGGGGAGAATTGGAGGATGGGGGAGGGTGAGGTGCAGCTTTGGAAAGTCCCACTTTACCCAGCTTATGTGGTCCTGGGAATGGGAACCAGCCAGGGCTTTAGGAATGCTTCACAAGTTTTGTTGTTGTTGTTTTTCCTATCAATTGATCCGCATGCCCTGCACTTAATTTATTACTCAGAGACACACTTGTGGTCACAGATACAATACCTATTCACTGCCCATTGCTGGTGGCAGAAGGAACTCCCTGCCTTCGATGCCCATTGGCATTAGAAACCCAGTAATTGGATTCGTCTGTGCTGGCAACTGCAGCCATGGAGACCAAAGATAGTCTCTGCTACTGATACCTTGTTCCTCTCAGAACCTCAGGGGGACAAGCCCAGGCTCAGCCAGCCTATGTGGACAGAACACTGGTCACTTACGGTTTGGAGACTGAGCTTCTGAGAATGGAGCACTGTGTTCTGAGTGCCTAGCCATGTCTCTTTGCACAAGAATCCAGAGCACAGCTATTGGGGACATGCATGCAGATCCATAAATGGGGAGAAGGTCCTGGACAGTGTGGTTCTGCTGTGTGCATGTCACCCTGCCTGTGGTGGTCAAGGGACATGTGCAGATCTGGGGGAGTGAGAGTGGATACTGACTGGTGCAAACACCTAGGGGCTTCAGAGGGGATAGTCCAGTGGTTCCTGGACAAGGAGCCTTCATGTCCAGGTAAGTCCAGTGTGAGGAAGAATAATTCCTGCCCGGAGCTGAAGAGGTGCGGTATCTCCTACCTGGGCCAGCTCTTTGATAGATGGTCACAGTCAGATTCCTTGGAGCATCTAAGAGAGAATGACACAGTGGACTCATCAACCCAACCCTCTGACCCCAGCAGCTGTCTAGGTGGGTATGGCAGGGGCTATCATCCTGACAAGCCTCCTTATCAGGATTTTAGAACCCAGTGTCAGGACCCTGAGCCCACCCTGGAGATCACTCTTAGAAAAAAGGGCAACCCAGCCCAGCCTCACATGACACATTGAGACGGATGGTCATTCCTGTGGTCACACCAGATCCAGGCAGGGTCACCTGGCAAGTGAGGTTGGTGCCATGGTCCCAGGGCTGGGGGCTGACAGTCAGCACTGAGGAACCAGTGGTGTTGGTGCTCGAGAGTGACACAGAGGAACCAGTCCAGGAGAAGGTGGGGGACCCACAGGCCCAAGGCGCAGAGCAGGTCAGGTTGCTGGGACGGCCAGCCTCCAGGGTCTCCGGGATAAGCATGTGGGGGGTGTTGGTGAGAGCTGGTGAGGAGAGGGGAGAATTGGAGGATGGGGGAGGGTGAGGTGCAGCTTTGGAAAGTCCCAGCTCTGATCCAGCTCCTCCCCTGAGCCCTGATGCTCAGACCCAGATACTCTCAGGATGGAGTCCTATCCGAAGCTGCCCTGTGGCACCCATGACTTTCCCTGGTGGCTTCTCTGCAAGCAATGCCTGCTGACCTGTCACATTCAGAGTCATCGTGTTCCAAAGATAATTATACTTTGTTTTTCCTCTCTCCAGACGAAAGAAGTATGTCCCGGTGTCCTCCTTCCTGGTCTCTCTGATGTCCAGGGAGCAGTTGTTCTTCTGTGGGTCTCCGAGCAGGGAGAATCGGCCCAGGGTCTCCTTCAGTGCTGGCCGAAGTGGGTTATTTGTGGCCACTGGGGAATCATGTTCTCCATACCGGAACCAGTATCCATGAATCGGGTCTGAGTCAGTCCATTCCTCCCTGGCGTGGAACTCACAGGGTACAAAGATACACAGGCCCTCTTGCACCACCACCTCCCTTTGCACACTCAGGGTGAAACCCTGGTGGAGCTCAGGCCCACCCTCTACCCCCTTCACCCCCCAGAGCAGCAGCAGCAACAGAAGCATGCCAAGCTGAAGCTGCAGGGCCACCACAAGTCTGTCTCTCTATGAAACCCGGCAGGAGCTCAGGCCCACCCTCTACCCCTTTCACCCCCCAGAGCAGCAGCAGCAGCAGAAGCATGCCAAGCTGAAGCTGCAGGGCCACCACAAGTCTGTCTCTCTAGGCTCTTCTCTGAGGAACTAAGAGCTGCAAGGCCTGGAGGAAGCCCCACCCGATGCAGGGGTGAGGCCAGGACAATGGCTGCCTTGGGAGGAGGAGCTTCAGACCCAGGCACTGTCAGAGCCCTTGAGCCTTGAAGACCAGCCACCCACCATCCAGATCTACTCCTGAGATCCTCCCCCCAAAGGCAACTGCCTCTCCCAAATTCACCCATCTTTTCCCTCTGTGTGCTAACCTTAGCCTCTGAGTGACATTTCCTGCTCAGTGAAGATGGGTTTGCTTCATCCAGAGTCCCCAGAGCCTCCCCTGGGGCTGATGATATTGGTGGAGTTGGTGATGGATCTAGAGGGATTGGGAGATGCAGGCTGAGGAGCAACCAGCCTCTCCTCCCTACCTTAGCAGTTTGTCATCAGCTCACCCTCTCTGTACAGTGACCTAGGCAGTGTTCCCAAAGCACCACTGTCCAGTGGGAGGTGGATCTCAGGCCCCTGGCGCATCTCACAGCTAGAGCTTTGGAGGAGGAGGCACAGATTGAGTGTCCAGCTGCTCTGAAGGGGTGGATGGGAACATTCTTCCTATTAAAGCCCACCAAGGGAGCTGGAGATGTAGCTAGCTTAGTAGAGTGTTGGCTTCATATGCGCAGAGCTCTAGGCTTCATCCCCAGCACCACATAAATTGTGTATGGTAGAATGTGCCTGCAATCTCAGCACTTAGGAATAGGAGGCAGGAGGATTGGGACTCCATGGTCAACCTCGGCTACATAATGAGTTTCAGCCCAGCCTTGGCTTCAGCAGAACTTGTCTCAAAACATACAACCAAACCTTCAAACCAAACCAAACCAAACACCACAAAAGCAAAAATACACCAAGGCCACAGAGGGGAGTCTCACTCACTGGGAAAGACTCCTGGGAATGGAGGCTGAGGAACTCTACAGTGGGACTTGGTACAGAAGATTGTCAAATGGAAATCCAATGTAACCCATCTAGCAGGAGAGGAATTATTTTAGAGAGAGATGCTTGTGAACTTCACCTGGCTATCAGACTTTGCGGGACAAAGGGCCCCCAATGAATTAAAATCTCCACAGGTCTCCTATGTTGGGCAATGGAAAAGCTAAAGTCCAGATGACATCTACAGGACGGACTCACACCTAGGAAGAATCCAGTTTTGACAACTTATTGAAACAACTTGTGGGCCAAACAAGGATAGGTCAGTGATGGGCAGCACCAAACGGTGACCAGGACTGCTTAGTTACCCAAAGCTCTTACCTTCTAATTAAACTTCAACTTCATATCAGGACCCTGAAGATGGACCTGAGGGTCACTGAGCCAGTGTGACCAAGTTCCCTTAAATCTCCTTTCTCATGTCTTTAGTTGGTGTATGGAGGGTGACCGTGGTCTGTTGGGGCTACTAGCACTCAAGAATTGACCTTGAAAACTGCAATAACACAGATCTTTGAAGAAGGTAAAATTCCCTTCCTTGTTCCAGGATGGATTTCTTGTTGGAGTTGGAATTCAGGGTCACTCACATCAGGCAGAGTCTCTAACCCTGAGCCACACCCCAGCCTCTCACTGGGTGATTCCAGGCGGGCTCTCTACTGCTGAGTCATGGCCACAGTCCACCGTTACATATTTCTTCCTTGCTGTTGTATCTTACTGTCCCCTTGTTCCAGAGGACTGCTTGTTTGCTCAGGGTCCCCTGCCCACCAGGGGTTCATGTGAACAGAGGAAGTGCAGTAAGGAACGCCAGTCTTGCATTGTCTACCCTCAGGGATGACCAGCAATTCCTAGAAGACTGTGTTTAATTTGTGGTGGGAGATAGGAAGAAGTGGAAATAATCCTAAGAGGTTGAGCCTCCTTCAACTAGAGTCAGTTTTCCTTGAGACATCTGAGATAGGGAAAAACATAATATACATTTATATTTATATTTTTATATACAACCAGAAAAGTGACCCAGAGGTATACCAAAAGTTGAATGCCTCCAAGACTCTTCCCATTGTGAGCCTCCAGGGCCATCCACATATTCCCTTCCCCTACTTCTGCATTTGCTCTCTGTGATGGCTATTCAGGGTTAACTTGACTGCATCTGGAATTAACTAAAACCCAAGTGGATGGATATGTCTGTGAGGGCTTTTTTCACTCATCATTTGAAGTAGGAAGACCAACTTTTTAAAATTAATTTTTATTTAAATTAAAAACAATCTTATTTTACATATCATCCCAGTTCCCTCTACCTCCCAGTCTCCCGTTCTCTCCCATCCCACCCCCCATCCACTCCTCAGGCAGTGTGAGGCCTCCCATGGGGGATTATCAAAATCTGTCAAGTCATTTGGGGCAGGACCTAGGGCCTCTCTCCTGTATCTAGGCTAAGGGAGTATCCCTCCAAAGGTAATGGGCTCCCAAAGTCCATTTGTGCACTAGGGATAAATACTGGTTCCACTGTCAGAGGTCCCATAGACTGCCCAAACCTCCCAACTGACACCCACATTCAGGGGGCCTGGTTCGGGGAAGACCCACTTTTTATCTGGATCTTTGTAGAGGAGAAGATTCACCTTTAGCCCAGGCCACACCTTCTGCTGCTGACTTAGAGCCCATGTCTTCAGGATTCCAGCATAGAATGAAGTCCAGCTGAGACACTGAGCCTCCTGGACTGAACAACTACCGGATTCTTGGACCTTCTGTTTGATAGGACTAGGCCATTGTTGGACTACCTGGACCACAGCCTGTAGATCATCCTAATAAAATAGTATATATAATGATATATATATATATATCATATATATCATATATATAATATATATGCATTCTATAAATCCTGTTCCTTTCAAAAACCCTGACTAATACATTTGGGATTAGGCATGTCTGGCCACCATCCTCAACTCTATCTATTTATCTATCTATCTATCTATCTATCTATCTATCTCATGCACGAGAGTGCATACACATCACTTTCTGCATTTTCAACTGGCAACCAACCTTTACCCCCATCTTTGCTCAAACACTCTCTCTCTTAGCAGAAATTGCAGCAACTCAGTGGTCAGAAGAGCTGGGCCATTGCCCCATGTGGTTCCCTGTTGTCCCCAGTTTGTAAAGAAATCAGGATGAGAAAACTCAGAGAATCCGCATTCAAGAGAGGAACTTATGACACACACAACCCATGAGAATTGAGACCTATAGTGCCACTTCCCCATTTTCAGAAGACACTGAGTTCCAGAGTGCAAGTGCTAAGGTGGCATCTGACCCCTCCAGAATACACATGTTGAGATCTTTATGCCAAGGCTATGGTAATAACTGGTAGGTTCTTGTCTGTGGAGGGAGGTAACTGTGTTGAGGGGTGCACATATAAAATCCAGAGCTCTACTTTGGACATCTTCCTCTGTCACTCTCCACCTTACTTTCTGAGTAGGATCTCTGATGGTTAATTTCAATGGTCAGTTTGGCAAGATCACTTAGGAGATGGGCCTCTGGTGGTGCCTGTGGGGGATTAGCTTGATTAGAGTAGTTGATGATAATGGAATGAACCTCTGAGACTGTAATCCACCACCATCAAATGTTTTCCTTTATAAGAGTTGTTTTTAACAAAATCTCAATCATTTGATTTTATCAATAAAGACTTGGGAGCCAATGCTGGGGTGAAAGCCTGCTAGCTCAGAGAGGCAGAGAAAGCACCTAGCTAACCTTCCTCCTCAGCTGACACCCAGAAGCCTTTCTTCTCTTACACCATTTCCAAACAACCTCTTCAGACCCAATGTCCTGCCCTTCTAGTCATCCTCCTGACTCCCTCTTATCTCTGTGGCTTTTTTCCTATGTTCGCTTCCTGTCAACTAGTTGTGTATTCTGCCTCTTGACTTATGGTTGGCTTTATTTAATTCTGTTTACAATATTCAAACAAAAAGCTCTTGGAATAAGGTGTGTGCTAGGGTTGAGCCACACCACAACTAGGAACAGATTTTTCCAGTAATTGATGCAATCTCAGGGTTTACAGTGTGATCAACTATCCTGCAACAGCCATGGTCGTGGTGTCTCTTCACAGTGGGAGAAACCCTAACTAAGACAGTGTGTGAGTGCTTGAGGTCATACAGCCACACCCAGTAAAGTTCTCCATCTCAAGTATAACTTCTTGAAAGAGTCAGAGCAGAAAGTGGAAGTAGGGTGATGCAGATGTAGCCTTGCTAGTTTAAACCAGTTAAACGACAAATAAGTCCTGATGCTCAGCAAAAGGTGAACAAAGCAGTAGCCCACAGGAGCCATGACTAATAGAAAAAAGTAAGAAGAGAGTTTACTTTTCCAAGTAATGTTTCTACATATTGTACTGAATGGGTTACATTTAAATTTTATTTACTGGAGGATTAAGACAAGGCCCCACATAATGAAGGCTGACCTTAAACCCACTATGTGGCCACAAGTGACCTGGAACTCCGCATTCTCTTGCTTCCACACCCCAAGTGTTATAGGTATGTACAACGGCATGTGGTTTATGCAGTGCTGGGAATCGAACTCATGGCCAAGCACGCTATCAGTTGAGGTCTATCCCCAGCTCCCATGTGTGATATTTTCTCGAAAGGTAATGGTACCACAGGAAACACAGTATCTGGGACAGAAATGTGATAGTTTCTACTTAAGTGGTAGTGGTGAACAAATGTCAGCTGTCCCTCCTTCGTGTGATGGCTAAGCTGGGTTATCAACTTGTAACACATAGGGAAAAGGAACCTCAACTGAGAAGCTGCCTGAGTCACATTAGCCTATGTGAGGTCTTCTGATTGTTCACTGACATGGGAGGACTCAGGTCAATGTGGGTGGTACCACTCGTGGGAAGGTGGTCCTCCCAGTATGAGACAGGTAGTTAAATG